AAAATTCATACCTGCACTGTCATGGCCATTTGTGGCCATGGTGAATTTTGGAATAGCCAAGTAAATATAATTTGGCTGAAAATGAATAGAAATGATTTATATTTAGATAATATCCTAATAGGTTAATTCAGTTTATCAGAAAGAGCAAAAGAGGCTTTTTGAAACGAAAATGTAATATATATTCGGTCAGCACAGCAATATGTATGAACCCTGTTTTGTGATGGCCACCATGGGTTTTAGGTTTTGTTACACTTAAAAAAGAGGATATAGGAGTAACAATCACTGTAAACAGTAATTATGCAATTCTGTTCATATCGGTATATCCAAAAACCTAACATTTTTCAATTCCAATGCTGCTTTCAAAGTTTACAAAAAGCTACTTTCAGTAATAAGAAGAAAATTAACATAAATCTATCGTCATCTTGGATTAGCTGCCATTTTGGCAATTTAACTACGATAATTTTTTCAAATGATTTTGTTGATAACTGAGGTCCAAGTATTTTTTTAAAAAAAAGTTTACAATACAGCGAGTTCATATATTTGAAATACATGGCAATTTAAAGGTCTCAGAAATTATAATTTTAAAACCCCTGATTTACTATGGCAACAGCTGAATTTGTCACACCTTTCACCTATTACATGGCAAACAAGCAGAATATTTGAACTTAGGGCCCATGCTATCAGAAAATCATAGTAAATAAAAATTGCTAATAGGGCTGAGCTAGCTTGAGTTTATTAAATTTTATTTTGTATTGGATTAATGTATTATATCATTTCATGTGTAAGCAAATTGGCGGCCATTTTGAATTTCGAAAGTCATAAAGCAATCTGAATTAACACAATTTAAAGAGAAGGGTCCTAGGTCCATATTCAGTACACCAAAAAGTAATAAAGAATGTAATTTGGGATGATTAATGTGGCATCTTTCCAGTTAAGACAGCCGTATGTTAAAGACATGTTTTGTGGCAGCCACCTTGGATTTCAGGATTTTACGTCAAAATTAAAGGTTACATCTTCAACAAGCACTTTAGGCAGACAGCAGAGGCTTTTACCATTATGGAACATCAAAACACATGCCACATTGCAATTTCTTAATAATTAAATAAAAACTCAAATATAAAAAAAATTCCCAAAATTATTTAACATGAGCAATAATTGGCAGCCATCTTGAATTTGCTGCCATCTTGGGACATTTTGATGATTGTGAAGTAAAGCACACTTCTTAATTTACACATCTGGTATAATTGTGAATTCCATAATTTTAAATGCATTTGGAATATTTAATTTTTATTTTTGGTCTCAAAAATATCAATTTTCAACCCCAGACATTACCATGGCAACAGCTCTGTTACTCACACCCACCACCAGGTTAATGGCAAACAAGCAAAAAATAAAAGCTAAGGGCCTAACCTACCAGAAAATAAAAGTAAACAAAAATCACTAATGGGGCTAAGTTGGTGGGAGATAATTAAAATTAATATTCTGTTGGAAGAATATATTATATCAATTTTAGCCAGTGTGTATAAGCATATTGGCGGCCATTTTGAATTTTGAAAGTCTTAATGTAATCAGAATTAATGCAAATTGTTTTACAAAGTCCTAAGCTCGAATTCAGTTTATTAAAAGTAATAAAGAAGGACACTTTGATGATAAATCTGGCATCT